ACCACAATAATGTCTTTTAAAAATGAACCACAAATAAAGCACAGAAATGATAAGAAACTACTCTACTGAATTTTTTGTTTTAATTGTTGTTCCTGCTACCAAGTGGATTCATTTCTAATTAGTTTCCTTTGCAATAACTAGTATTTTTTCTACATTCAATCCCAAAGGGGGCGTGGGGGGAGATATAACCTCTCAGGCAGGTTTCCTTTGAATGTTTTTCCTTTCTTAGTTATCTTTTGCAGTTGGGAATCATGGTACTTTCTTTAACATATTGTGTATATTATTCTAGCATGTTAAAGATATTTTAATAGTGATGTTAATATGCATATTTTATTTTGATATTAAATAAAATAATACATTCTTAACTATATACAGATCTTTCATAAACTTATAGAAAACTCAATGCAGTTTAAATGAGAACCTCTAAATTCATGGATTTGATCATTTGTACCCAATTTCCACTGAAATCCAGGCTCAGGGAGCAAGAATTCCATATGGAAAACTTAAGGCTGAATTAGCTTTGGAACTGAGTTTAAAATTGCAGGAAGAAACTCTATTTGGATTTTAGTGTCTACTGTACAGACAGCAGAATGGCCATTTTTAATAAAAGCATAAAGCTACTGAGGTAAAGGACTTTAACTAATAAAGTGAAACACATTTTACCGACAAATGTGATAAAATCAACCTGTCACAATTGCAGGAAGATAGACACACCTTTTCATATCTTGTATTCATCCCGGCCACTTTCACTCCCTCTGGAGGGCTTTTGAACTTTGATTTGACATCTCTTAAATTTATGCTTTCTTTCAACGTAAAGAGGTTTTCTTTTCTTACAGTTTTAGCCTTAACGTGAAGTTCAAGTCTAACTTAGATTAAAGGGAAGTAGTCTTGGCTTTAGAAATTCAATGTTTGCTCTTGATCTTTTTTCTTTTTCCTTTTGTTTTTATGAGGTTGAGCTAAAAACCCCAAAGTGGGACATAATGGCTTTAGAGACAGGAAGGAAATATTCTTTATTCTTTTTTTCTACTGTAAAAAGCCCACAAGCCTCTTTTGTAGAAATCCCACAGTAGAAGTACTCCCTCAAAAGCCACCTTTTTCTTCTTAATAGCCTCAGAAGAGACAGTGTTCAGAAAAGATGACAGCACCAAGTGTTGCTAATGTTAGATCCAGAAACAAGCTAAGTGGTTTATGGCAAAAAAAAAAAAAAAAAACCCTGTTTACTATATATACTTGTCAAATAGGGATTTTTTTTCCACCAATAAAATATTTTTTAAAGGTCATTGCCTTTCAATTGCACAATAAACAATTTGTCCCCAAAATGGCAAAACAAAACAAAAAACAAAAAAAAAACCAGAAGAAAGTTCTCAGATGACACATGGTGAGGAAAATCAGTATGACATAATGGAGAAAGGAGGAACGGGATTATGAGAATGAAAAACATCTGGATTATGGATACAAAGGAGGGGACTGAACCCTTTCTGCATATCAATTTAAGAAGTAACTCTGATTTTCAAAAACTGATTTGTATCCATAGAACACGGTATACCTTTTGGTTCATATAACACCAAATAATAAATGTTCATTAAAATAAGCAAAGTAAAAATGCAATTCATTCACTCAACAAACATTTATTGAGTGTCTGATTTTCTTAATTTTAATTTATCGATATACAATGTAGTTGATTTTCCTGTTCCTCCCTACCCCTTCCCTCTCCCCCTCCCACCCATCAACATCATATCTGTTCACTTGTCCTAACAAGCTCAAGGAATTGTTGTGATTGTTGTGTCTTATTTTTTTTTTTAAAGGCACTGTGTACATAGAAAAATATTGCAAATTTCCTATTCTGTGGTTGGATCTTAAATTCTAGAGGAGAACAGAATCTTTCATTTTTGTGTTACAAATTATAAAGACCCTTGAAGGTGAATGATCTGAAGTAATGGAAGATTTTCTTTCCTGCAAAGATAAAGTTTTTATGGCACTACCTGTTATTTAATCAAAAGACTAGAAGGGCTCTATGTTTGAAGACTGCATAATTTTGAAAATTTAGCTCAATTTCTGGTAACAAACACATAGAGTTCTCAGAGGCAAAGCGATATATTTCCTTTAAATATGTTTGAAATTAAATATTTAGAGCAATATTTAAGGTCTATATTTAATATAGGCTAATAAATAATATTTTCTTCATATATCAACATTACATTTCATATGATAAAATAACCACAACAAAGAGTCCTCCAATGCCTACCTTGAACAGTCAGAGTAGCCGATGCTTCGGCTTTTCCAACCATATTTTCTGCCACACAAGTGTATGATCCCATGTCACTGGCCATCACCTTCCGAATTTTCAATGTATGATCATCCCGAATTTCATATCTAATGATACAATAAAAGAAAGCATGACTAAGTGACTTTCTACTTGAAAGATCCCATCCTTACATATATGATGTATCTAGGCAACAAATCACAGGCAACATTCTCCTAAGTGAGTTAAAACTAAGTGTAAAGTGTACCATTCCTCTAGGGCAGCAGAAGAAAAGCACTTGTTTTTATATTTATGTGGAATAACATTAAATTACTTTCTAAAATAACATTTTTGGGTAAAATTAACACTTACTCATTATTTCTTCAAGCTACTGTGCTCACGCTAAAATTAAAAGATAGTGGCCATTGATTAAATTCTTAGTATATGCCAGACTTCAAATGTTTTCTAGATTTTACTTTCTTAAATTCTAATAACAATTGCATAAAGTAAGTACTGAGCTTACCTCCATTTTGTAGATGAGGAAACTGAGGCATAGGATAGTAACTTGGCCTTGGTCCTCAGCTAGTTTAGTGGCAGAATTGAAATGTGAACCCAAATGGTCTCATTCTAGAGTTTACTTGCCTTCCCCCATCTTCCCTCCGCAAATGTTGCGTTTCCCTTAAAGTGGCACTTAATCCCCTTTTTATTCTATGGACCTCTCTGGGTTATATCATCTACTATAGTATACATATTGATCAACCTCAGAAACATTTTCAACTCCTATTTCATCTAAGTTACAAATACATATTCTCAATATTCACAACAGACATAATTAGACATCACATCCATGGGCATCTACTATTTAATATATTAAATAAAACTTTCTTTTATTCCCCTAATATTAACCAACTCGTTCTCCTAATGTAATCTACCTATCTTTTTTCATCAACTGTCTAAATCTAACAAGTCGTGCAATTTGTCAACTTAGTCTTGGAAATTTCTCTTCACAAGGCAGCCCTGTCTTCTTCTCATCTCCCATTCAGACAATATATACCTCTTTTCTGGACAACTGCAACAGGAGAATCCCTGCCACTAGCTGTTACCCACAATAATGTGACAACTATAGTGCTAACAAAATCATTTTTTCTAAAAAATAACCCTGTTTATATTAACCCCTCTTGGCTCATAAATGTGCATGTAATATGATTTGAAATTCTTTATTACACAAAGCTCCTGATAATTCAGCCCCAGATTATCCAAAATGATATCCCATAACTTTTCACCACATACCCTGTGCACTAGCCACTCTAAACTTTCTACCACTGAAAATATGTGATATTCTTTCTCAGATTTGTGTCTCTGTTGTGATATCCCTTTTCCTGGAACACTTTTCTCTTCTTTAGTACATACCAAACTGATACACATTTTTCAAGATATTGTATATGTGTCACTTTTTTTTTTCTTGAGAACTCTCTCCTGATTTCCTTCCCCTATGCTTACATAGGTGTAACTTTTTGTGGCAGAAGAGCTTGATAATGGTATTCTGTATGTATCCATATCTGTTTCCTTTTGTGAGCTCCGTGACAGCAGAAACCACGTGTAAACCACTTCTGTAATCCCAACACCTAGCAGGGGCTCAACATATGTTTGCTGAATGAATGAACACACTGGAGAAGACAGCCTATTGACCACACCTAAAGGCTTTAGTTTATTGCCTCATTCTCTAAGGCTCCCTAATTCCTGTACCTCTGCTTCTAGCCAGTTTAGGGCTTGACAGATATCAAGAAACTTTGACCTCTTCTATCATTCTCTGGTGATATTGTAGCTGAGCAAAAGGAAGCCCAATTTTTAATTGGCTCATAGTTAATGTTTTTAATGCTGTACCTCTCTTCCCTTTACAACCTACCCCTGTACGAGAAGTTGGTATTAACTGTGATCTGGCTGAACAGACTGGAAACCTGTTTAAGGAATATCCCATTTTATAAGGGTTCCCTGTGCAGGCGAGGGTCATGAATGTATATTTCTTATCTGAAAACCTCAGCGAAAGCATCAACCTCCTGTTTCT